CCCCCGCCGAAGAGGCCGCCATCGGGAGGGCGTGGGGGTTTGCTTCCCACCCTCTCAGAGTGGGTTGTAGAGATGAGGTTAAATACCAAAGGCAAAACACAGGGCAAGGCCTCATCGTTGGGATTTATTGCTGTGGGCAGCGTGCTGAGTGGGGGCACTGGAGGAAACCTGAATCATTTTCCGGACTGCTGCAACAACTCATGACAGACGGCGCATATCTGGCCGTAGAAAGTGTGTAAACAAGAAAGAGGCCAAGGGAAAGGGAGCCACCGCCTGCAGAGGGGCAAGGACGTGACCAGTTGAAGATACAAACAGCGTTTGGCGGTTTTTTCAGTGTTTTGACGCCTCTGCCGGAGTCACACGGCAGAGCAGTTAGGCGCACTGCCACTGCTCTGGACACGCATTGCCATACTGGGCAGAGGGGCCTGTGCAGTTGCACAGAGAGCAATCTTCCACACAGGCCCTTTCCAGCCTCCTTCTGTGTCGCAGAGCCAGGCTGGCGAGGCCCTTCAGGCCCATCAGCAGTAACGTGTCAAGGAACGGGGCCAGAAGGGAAGTAAAAGTTCAAACAGGGGATTTCCTGATGCTTATCAGAGCAAGATCCACTCCTTCATGTCACAGTTGTGCATTCATTTGAACTTTATAGTGTCTGGTATCTGTTTTTTCTCTTAAAAGCACTCCTAATCTTTGCCCCTCAAGACTCTCTATATTTGGAATAGTAACACTGGAAGATAAAGAATAAATTGGGCTTAGCTCTTTAACAAAGCACGAAGCGCTTGCTGGTTGAAAATCAGGAACCTTTATTCATTACAACTCATTTCACTAGGAAAACAATTCTGTTTGGTTGTGTGGAATCACCAGATTAGTCCCACAGTCTCTTTGATTGCTTGGCTTTCAGTCTTGTCAGTCTTCTTGTTCTGACATTTGTTTCCTTGTCTATAGCGTTGCAAAGAGAAAAAAAACATTCAGCTCTCATGGGGAAATGAACTGCGGGAGCAAATTATTTTATCGGATCTGAGGCCTTTTTTAAAACTTTTGCTGTTGCTGTCTATTAATGTAGAGTTGAGAACAGAGATTCCCTGTTTCTTCTGTTAGCCACTTCTGCTTAGAAACTGATTTTTACTAAAGTGATGAGATTGTTGAGTTTAGAGGGATTGGGGGCGAGGGGGAGCTCTGCTTAGGTAGGTTGCAGGGAGAGATTGGCTGATTTCTTGTATTTTTACAGCAGAAATTACCAGGAAATTATTTAAAAGTTGAACTGTGCAGAGCCAAATTCTGTTACACCCTGGCAACTCCGCTCACTTCAACACCAGGGGCAAAAAAAGGCAGAGTTTGGTCACAGCTCTTTAAAATTTCTGCTTTGCAACTGCTTATTAATAGGCTGTAAACATTTCTGTGATTAGCTTTAAATGACTAATCCCTGAGCCTTGGGAGAAACACACAGGGAAGAAAACAATTCTTCTCAAAAGACCTCAGATTCAATCCTCCACCT